AAACACATTAGTTTTATTCTTCAAAGTAAAACTCTTTAATGATCGCACGCAGAAGGTATATCTTTCTCCAACGAAGTCTCTAGGACGACTAACTAAAAGTCATGAGAGTTTTCACTCTCTGGACCCATTTGACAAAAGGCCCTTGTTTCAATTTTCTTCAGCCTCTCCTTTGTGACTCACCATGAGGACTGTTTTTCTTCACGTCTCTATTTTCTAAGAAAAGCCATAAATGTCACCCTGAGTGTTTGGGTGGAAAAGAGAAAATGTTTAACTAAACTAAGAAATTAATTTTTGTATTCAGGCATGAATTCCAACAAATTACTTTTTTGAAATTCAACTCCTACACAGCTAATTTCGCTATTATGTTAATAAAAAATTGCACCATTCATGTAAAATAACCCGAAAAATGTTTCTGAAACAATCAAGAATATATTTTAAATATTTTAAAAGTCATTTTTTGCCGATTTTACGTGACTGGCGCAAATTTTAATATTAAAAAAAATCAAATTAGCTGTGTAGGAGTCGAATTTCAAAAAAACATCGCAAATGTTATTTTAAGCATTTTTTCAAAAATTTTGAAAAAAAAACCTCTGTAGCTCAAAAATTAGAGACCCTGGACTTTTTTTTTAACATTTCAAGTGTCTGCGGGGCAAACGAACAATAAACAATTAATTTTTTTGCACTAATGATACGTTTTTAAACATATAATCGATCTTAAACGCATGAGAAATCTCACGCCAATAGCCCACGACTTTTAAAGCTCACAGTAGTCTCCCCTTAAGGAGATTCCGAGATATCTCAGAATCTTAAGGAGATTTACGAGTAAACGAAAAAGCACTTTTCGATACGAGGTGAACGTAGCAGCAGTGTCAAAATAGTATATTCCGTCTCACTCGTATCGAACTATACTATTAGTATACTTGTAAACGAAGAAGGCACATTTCGGCCACTTGCTGAACGTAACTTCACTGTCAACAAATATTGTTCGGTACCTGTGAGACGGGGATTTTCACAAGTGTTAAGTTGGCGGCCCGAGACGAAAACAATATTTTTTTCGAAAAGTTGAGAAAATTTCTTGACAAAATCTTTGGGTTCAAATCCTTTTTCATCGTTTTTAGTGGCTCGTAATTAGAATTGCAAAAAAACGTTTAAAGAAGAAAAAAATATTAAATCTTCAATATCTCCGCCGATAATTGAGCTGGAGAGCTGCAGTTGTACGCATTTTGACGTGGATACGTCTATGGTTCCAATATGGGGATTAATTTTGGCAAACGGTCCTTATCTGCTGCGTGATCTATTGGAATTCTAGAAAATCCTAGACATTTCGAGGTAATTCGAGAAGTTTCGTGGAATTTCAAAAAATTCAAGGAGTTTCTAGAAATTTCGAAGAAATTCAGGGCGTTTCTAGGAAATTGGAGTGAATGGAACGAGTTGCTGGGAAATTCAAGGGAATGTAAGGAGTTTATAGGAAATTTGAGAAAGAAGGAAAGACCATGGACGTATCCACGTACAATTACAGCTGTATCAAAGATTCAGCCGTCTGCAATTTATTTTTCTTTTTGAGTATACTTTCCGTTAAAAAATGGAAAAAAAACTCCCAATTTTCAGGCAATTTTTCATATAGAGAATTGGGAGACTCGCTATTGTCCAATTTTGTGGTCCAAAACCCGTATAATTATCACTAATCGAATTATTATATGAGCTTTTCAATTTAATCCCGGCTAATGAAAATTTACGAAAGTATGGAATTTTTGTCAACTGCGATTATCACAGGACTAAATAATTTGGAAAGTGAATTTAAAGAGATCATAATTGGGGACGAGAAAAGATTTTCCATGAAAAAATGTGTTTCAAAATTCCTCCTAACATGATTCATTAGTCCAGAATAATTTAATAATTACAAAACTCAATAATTATTCTTCACTGGATTTTTTGCAATAATCAAAAACTAGTCGATGATTCCCGAAAAAGAAGTCGAAGGAGAGCTTTTCAGAGTCGGATAGAGTATTTAAAAAATTTAACATACATTCAACATTGCCATAAAAGATCTCTCTATTATTCCCAATTATTAGTTATGAAACCGAATTTTTTAATTTGCGCATTGATGTTTATTTTAATTGTTTCCTCATATAGAGGTTCTTATCTCGTATTAAAACACAAAGATTTTCACTGTTAAAAAACCTCATCAATATTATGAAATTCTCAGCATTAATATAACAATGCAAATAATTCACCTTTTCTTCAACATTAAATTCAAATATTGCGGCAATTCTTTGTGCAAATCTCCCGAGAGAATTTTTTTCATTGGGCTTCTGAAGAGCCACTTGATCCCCGTATTCCACAGGTGAGGGATGTACTATTGATTCCCTTCGTCGATACTAATTTAATATTGCAATTACAAAGAAGTGGGGATAGAAATCTCAACCAGTAAATAAACTACAATAGTTCGAGAGTTCACATCAATTTTTTCTTTATATCGACAATTTGCCTTCAAGTGATTTTTACCATCATGTGGAATTACGTTTTCGTTTCTGGAATTGTTCTATTAGTGTCGCTGTTATATCACTATAATGTCACCCGACCATCGAGTGTTATTGAATATCCGGAAGATCGTTACGACTATATAGTGGGTGAGAAACACAGTGCATCGACATTCAGCCAACTGAATTTCTCACGGAAGTATTCAGATATTTTGATGCCTTCAATATTATTCACAATTTACTTTAAAAATACCTTGGAATTTAGTATATTCTTCGAAAAACGTCAGAAAACATTTTTACAACCGATCAAGTTTTCTGCAAAGAATTATTTTTTGGATTTTTGTTCTTAAGTTCATAAATTTCTACATAATTTTGTAATTCATGAAAATGTTATATTCATTGACCATCTTTATCAATTATTAGGGAATAATGCCATTTTTTTTGTTCATATTCACAATCTATATGAGCGAATCCGCCAATTCCGTATAATAAATTGCTTCCAAAATTTTCAAAATTGTTCTGCTATTCGTTATCGAAAAGTATTGTCCAGAACAAGAAGAATGAGCGCAACCAGAGTTCTCCAACTTAATTATTGGGGAAGATATTAAAGATTCCTTTTTTTTCTTCTAAAAACTTTGTCTTCAATTCTATTCAATTATAATTATGATCGAGTATGAATATAAAAAAAATGTTTGAAAAAAAAAGTTTATATGCATGGAAAACTCACAAAGAAATTTTCAGATTATTCCCCGTGCTTTTTAATTTTTTTATTCTTTTCAGCGTGAAGTTCAGAAAACTTTCTGACCAAAATCTATGTTTATTTTTGGTGCTCTGAAAAAGTCGGAGGTGAAATGGAGAGAAAAAAAATTTAATCCTCCAAAAAAATTAGTTTTTCGAAAGTATCTCACAATCTGAAGACGATAGAGAAATTTTTGGATAAATCTTTTTTATAGAGAAGAGAATGAGATCTACAAAAAATCTTGTATGAAAATTTTTCCATCTAGGGTAAACTGCCCAGTAGATGGACGCCTAAGAAAACCGCCTAGTAGATGGACGTTCGTTTTTTAGCAATTGAAAAAAAAATGATCTAAAAAACTCGTCATTCAGGGGTTAATAACGACAGTGAAAATTCAAAGCAATAATTCACATTTCAGCATTTTTTTGCGTAATTTCCTATCCAAAAGTAGCTCGTCCATCTATAGGAAAGTGTCCATCTACTGGGTAGCTTACCCTACTAAATCTAAAAAAAACACTCTATTTCTTGGGCATTTTGAGATATTGTCCAAGGAGTAATTTTCGGGTTTGAACAATTATTATTCTGTACTATTCCCGGACTATTTAACTCGGTCAAACCTTAAAAACATCTAAGGTTTGACCGAGTTAAGTAGCCCGGTGAAAATACAGAATATGAATATACCGGCCAAAATAATACCTTTCATTGTAATGAACAATTATTATTATAATAATAACTCGCCATCATCACTTACGCGTGAACTTCACATTTCCTTGGTCTATTTCTCTGATAGTTATAATCAATTGAATATTGTTTTATTTGTAGTCTGGACCAGAAATATTTAAATGAATTCCATGTGCATGAAATTTTAAGCATTGATTCAGAAACGAGACGATTATTATAACCCATAATAGAACTTCAGAACGGACATATACGGAGAGAAATATTCAATAAAAATTACGTATCTTTTCCGTAATTCCGGAGCGAAATGTGGTTGTAGGAAATTTTACGGAACTGTCACGGACTTTATCCAGAGCGTTCCGTAATTTTTATCTGAATCTCGTATGAAGAATTACGATACCGTCGTAACGATACCGTATCTACTAATCCCCGAATGATTTTATAATTTCTTGCACTACGGATTCCATAAAAAGTGAAATTAAGGAATTGCTTTATACACCGGTTCAATGTATTTTGATTGAAAAAATCAGATATGAAGATACACGTTTCATGGTAGTTCAAATACAAGCTATGTAATTGGCATTTTTTTCGATTTCCTAATTTTTGGAAGAAAATGCCTAGAAATGTCATGAAACATGAAGAAGTTGTTTTTAAAAAATGTTCGTATGTAGGTGTGTGCACTAGAGAGACCGTTAGAGTCCCCCGAGTCGAAAAATTAGTCGTTTCAATCTTCCCGCTATTTTCAAACGAGGCGATTTCTTTTGTTTTCGAATTTTTTCTGCAACAACTCTAGTCTTCCATGTCTTCACCACTTTTCAGGAGCGATAAAAATCTTCCCGTTATCGTCGGTTGTTGTTTAACCTCGCTCTAGTGCGGAAGACTGAGGACGATAAAGAGAATATGTACTTGCAACGACAACCCAATCGTAACGACAAAAGTCGCCTATTTGTACATTCGTGTCTGTCAAATGTTTAGGGTCCATCAAGCACGAAGAAGTGTCGGGAAATTAACGATTAAAGATTTTTATTCAACATAGCTATTTGTACAGTGTGTATTTACAATGTTGATGTCCATTCTTTTTCGCAGCGTCAGCCCGTGGGCTTTTACATGCATGTATTTCATGAAGTTTGTGGAGATCTCTATCTTGAGCTTATATGGTTAATTATTGAGGATACAATTAGGGAAAAGCGGTAGAAAAACCCAAAGCATGATGAGTGCTGGGGAGGAAGAGGTATATGTGGAGGTTATTTGCGGTCAGTTGGCCAACGGGAGATTTTACAGGGATTGAGTTTGTTTATTAACTTGTTTGGATGCTCCTGGAGGTTGGTAGCGAAATTAGATGTTAAGCGAGAGGTGAAATCGCAAATGGGTTCGGTGTTTGAAATTTCATGAAGGGACTTAATTGTGGTTCGATAATAGGCGTTATTTATGACACGAAGGAATTTGTTTTGCGTAACCTGGAGTTTGGCTAGATGGGTGGGGGCAGCATTGTGCCACATAGGACAGGCATATGTTATCACTGGTCATACCAGAGCTTTATAAAGTTTCATTTTTATTTGAGTTGAGAGGGCCTTCGATTTAAACAAATAGTAGAGCCTACCCATAATTGCTTTTGCTTTTTCTCTCCACAGGAGTTTACTATCAAGGATAATACCAAGATATTTCGCGGTTTTGGATACATTAATTTGATTATTTTCCAGATAAAAGGAACTGGTATAACATTTCGAGGTAGTGGATAATACAAATTCTGTTTTGGCAGCGTTAACATTAATTTTGATATCGCCTAGTTTGGAGATCGTAGTTTCAGCGGCTGCTATCAATGATTTTATCGCGTAATTTGAGGACGAACTTGACGTGACAAACGCAAGGTCATCTGCGAACCCAGCAATAAGACCCGCAATAAGTACCCGGTCGTGAAGACCAGAGAATAATGATGCGATATATAAATTAAATAAGGTGGGAGATAGTAAGGAGCCCTGTGGGACGCCTGCAACAATGGTTTCTGGATTGGGAAGCGTAGAAGACACTCGAACTCGAATATGACGATTTTCTAAATATGATTGAATAATTTTGCATAGATATAGGGGAACTTTTAGTTTGATTAAAGTGTGAATTAACCCATCATGACAAGCCGAGTCGAATGCCTTCTCGCTGTCCAATAACAGAAGCGCTGAGCAGTATTTTTTGTTCGCTGCAGTTTTTATTTTGTCTACAATGCGTAAAAGTTGCTGAACGGTGGAATGTTTTGCTCCGAAACCAAATTGATCGTGGGGAATTAAATTCAATTCTTCAATTGTTCTTTGAAGTTGCTTGTGTATAATTTTTTCAGCTATCTTGGCGAAAATCGAAAGAAGACTAATCGGGCGGTAGCTAACCGGCAGAGAGGGTGCTTTTGATGGTTTTAAACGGTAGGGATGGAGTCAGGTCCAGGAGCGGATCGAATTTTGAGTTTGTTGATGATCCCGAGTGGAAATTCCGGTCAGGTCTTGATCAAGTTTGGATCAGGTTAGACCTGAACACTGATCAGGTATTGATCAAGTTGACGGATCCGGACTTGATCAGACATTTTACGCCTCTGACCAATCCGGATTTGATCAGGACGAATGGATCCGAACTTGATCAAGTCAACTGTATGAAAACCGAATGACCTGTCTGTCTGTGTCAATAACAATTATCAATTATAACTAATCCAAAATAAAAGATAATTCAATTCTTTCACCATAAGCTGCCTCTCTTAATGAATCTCTACTGTTATTACCTCTGAAACAGCTTATTATTTTTTACCGTTGCTGGGGATCGAACCGGGGACCCTATGATTGCTAATCCTATGCCCTAACNTGTGTCAATAACAATTATCAATTATAACTAATCCAAAATAAAAGATAATTCAATTCTTTCACCATAAGCTGCCTCTCTTAATGAATCTCTACTGTTATTACCTCTGAAACAGCTTATTATTTTTTACCGTTGCTGGGGATCGAACCGGGGACCCTATGATTGCTAATCCTATGCCCTAACCACTACGCTATCACGTTATTACTATTGAGTAAACTGTACATGGCCTATATGATTTGTATCGGTGTATTCGTTGAATTTACTATTATTCCTGATCTCGCGGATGTGCGTGTGTACTCTCAGAGATAGAATATGTTCAATTAAATTTGGATTCATTTCATTAATGAATAATAATAATGATAATAACAATAACTCTAATAAATAAATAGACATTTGGTGATTTTTTTTTTCAAGATCATTTGTGTGTAAATTTGATACTCCTCTAATACGTATTTACGACATCATCATCCCTCCCTTCTGTACATTTGAGAAGGGCTGGCTGTTAATTAAATTGATTAATTAAATTAAATTCATTAAATTAAATTAATTTAATTTATTTTAATTATAGTATAATGATCCTTTTTAAAGATTGAAAATAATTATTGATAATAGTTGATAAAACTTAATTTGAATAGTATAATAATAGTTAATTAAATTATCTGGAAAACTTATTAAAATTAATGGCAGGGGGACCGGGTCTGAATCTGATCATTTTCTCTTCAATTGACCCCGTTCAAATGCCGATCAAAGACACCAAATCCGAATTTGATCAAATTGGGGTCAGGCAGCCGACCTCAGGGTGAGATCGTGCCTACCTGATCAGAACTTGATCTGAATCATCCTGAAGTTTTTCGGATCTGATCTACTGGATCAAAACTTGGTCAGGTTCTCATCAGACATCATCTGATCTTGTCTACCTGATCAGAACATGATCCGAATCCGCCTGTAGTTTTTCGGATCCGATCTGCTGGATCAGAACTTGGTCAGCTTCTCATCAGGAATCACCGGATCAGTCGAACCTTACAAAAACCTGATCAAGTTCTGATCATGCTTCAGGTGGGCCTGAAGCCATTTCCACTCGGGATATGGCAACGAGTTCGCGGGGAGATGCGAGCATAAGTGACGATACTGGTATGGGAGGGGGGCTATGTGATGAATTTCACCTGCAATTCGTTTGTTTACATTCGGGCTTCCTCGACATTGGGCATCCGAGTGGATTTTGGCATAATGCTCGCGCAGCATATTTGCATTTCTAGGTCGGTGGCTGCAAGGCAATTATTTTTGAGGGGACATTGTGTTGCTCGTGTTTCTAGGGTCGGGAGATCGATAAAATCATAAAATTTTGATGATAGAATTCAAAATATTCATATAAAGACTAGTATCGTTCTGTTGTCGCAGTGCTCTTTAAAATGTTTGGGACTTGGAAAAACTTTCGTGGTCCAAAGAACTTGGAAAAAATTTTATCTCAGAGTTGGACTTGAAAAAATTTTACTCGTCAGTGGAACTTGGAAAAATTTTTGGTAAGTGGAATCGGAGAAGTATATCCACATAATCGTGATAAGAAAGAATATTTTGATGTTTACATAAAAAAAATTGGAGAGATAATCGAGAAAAAAGCGTTTAAATAAATTGGAAGTTAAATATTCTAATAATAAACACTAGTATTCAAATAGCCAAGAGTTTCGAAGGGGATAGCTTTCATTTTTGCTTCCGAATGGAAGCCTTGTGATCGGTTATTTTTACGATCTTCTAATTGTGCTTGGAAATGATGTAGCATGTCATGTGTGTATGAAAAAAACGGAAAAAAACGAAAAAACCTGAAAAAGGATTTTCCCTTCTGATTGTCTTTGCATTATGCCTGAAAAATCCTTATTTTGAATAGTTGACGATCAGAAGGAAAACCCCCTTTTTTTCAATTTTTTCATGATCTATATAATGGATCGTAAAACGGAAGCTTAAGTTTGTTCTGTAAAGTCTCACGAACATTTTGAAAAAAAAAATTAAATCGGATGAAAATTGGGGAACGAGGAACGTTTTAAAGGTAGAAACACGGAAAACGACGTTTTCCATGGAAGTACGGGGCAAAACCGATTGGGTCCGGGATTTTTTCCACTTTTTAACATATCCCATCATATAACTAAAGTCGCTAAATAAGTCCCCAGATCCACTGAAGACTTTCAAATTTCACCGGGGTCCCTCCTTAAAAGTCATTCAACATTAAATTATGCTCATTTCTATTTTATATCATATTGTTAAATACTAGTCTGTTTCATAATAAATGAATGTTTATTAAAGATTTTGTGGCGAAAAAGACGATAAAAAGAAATCCAAAAAAGCGTGATGCGTTGGCGGAATAGAATTAAAGATAACAGAATAATAGTTTTGGCAATGCTAATTAACTTCAACTACTCTTTATGATTGATACTATTGAAGAAAACATTCCAAAAAAGTGAGAATATTAAAAAATTAATAAATGAAAAAAAATGGAAAATAAAAATGATATATTCTTTAGGTTGTTAAAGATATCCATCAGATAAAATCGGGAAGTTGAATAGGAATTGCCAATTCTCATTTTTAAAATTGTAATTGCTACGGATCCATTCGGAAGCTTATTACCAATGGAATTGGTAGACAAAAAGACGATTAACACATGAATATTTTCTGGGGTAAATTCCTATTCTGCCGAATAGAAGTTCTACCCTGCTTCTTTATTCACCTATGAGTTTACATATTGAATAGTATCTGTTAACCCTCCAATGGTCGCGCTATGGTCTGGACGCCGTCGTTTTTACTATTTTCACGATATCTCTAGAAAGGTGATGAATTACGCTCTGCCTATTTACGAGCTCCTCAAATGATATGTTCTGATGAGATTAAACACGGTAGGTTTGCCATGCACTGACAATTTTGTTCTCAATTATTTTTTTTGTCGAGCGCGATTAGCGCAGCGCTCACCGTCCGATCACTCTCGTAGTGGAAATTCCAAGACCCTCGTGGTAGTCCCAAGCAGCGTGGACGGAGTGGAGGGTCGGGACTGGCAACGCTGCACTCGAGAATGTACGGACGGTGCAGCGCTTATCGCGCGACCAACGACGTTCGGCGAAGACGTGCGACTACAGGAGGGTTAAACATGAAATTTTTCTCATAATATTTCATATTTTTTTATAGCTCCTCGGCTTAATTCCGTACCAGCGGATCGGATGGTCGCGGCACAACGTGGTGGACACATCATAAAAGTTGTACCTGAAGACAGAGCGGTACCTTATAGTTTTCGGGGATTTCCCCTTTTTTATTGAGAAGGGGTGGTATTGAGTCGATGTGTCCGCCACGGTATCCGCTGGTAAGGAATTAAACCGAGGAACCATTAAAAAAAATCCTAATCGGCTGTATCCTTGATACAGCCGTCAGATTTAACGTGGATACGTCTATGGACCGAAATCCTCATTGGCAGTATCCTTTTTAACGTAATTCGTCACAAGAATTTAATGTTATATTCAATTCTATACGTCTCTATAATTTCATAAAGAATTTCAAAATTGAAAAATTCGTGATTCATAATTAGAATCTGCTTAATTGACGAATTCCATGGAAATACTCGAGAATTTAAAAAATTTCGAATTTTCTAATCACTTTATACTATGAGAAATCGTTCTCAAAAGACTTAGTTGATTAAGAATGCTGTCTATTCATTCGCTCCTTATCTGAGAAATGGCACTGTCTTCGGCCTTGGATCATTTTAACCCCACCATTGACTCATTGGCCAATCAGAAGGTTTTTCCCCACCATCGACTCATCGGCCAATCAGATTTCCAACTTCCCACTATTGACTCTTCAGTCAATGGTGAGTTTTTGCGCAGTAACTTTCTATAAATTTAGTGCACCCAATCCGCCTGGGCCATTTCGCCTCGAGCAGCAGAAGAACAAGGAGCGGGGTAGCAGAGTAGCAGAATCAGAATTCGAAAACGAGAAAGGACGGGAGGAAAGAGGAAGAAGTACTCTACGAGAGGCATCTTTAGCTTTAAACCATCGATAGTCGTTTATTGGGAAACTCAATTTTGCCGTGGAGATTTAACTCTCGTCTTCAGGAAAATCTCAGTTCTCGCTGTAACCAAGAAACTCAATTTACGCTTTTAAGCATCGCCGATAGATGGCGCGGCTGCATAAGCATTTTTTCGCCGAGTGACCCCCAAAACGAAATTATAGACGTATCCACGTCAAAAAATTTGAAATACTATGAGAAAAATCTCATATTTAACAGATAATATTCGACATGTATAATCATGGCTGAATAAAAAATGAAAGCCCTCCCCCCCATTCCACTGAAGCGTACGCGCACAAGATTTTTTTTTAAAGGAAAAAAGGTAATAGCTCGAAAACTTTATATGTTTTTATTGATTTAGATAGAAGGCACCCAAACAAATATTTTGAAAACAAAAAATCGAAATCGGTCCACTAGTGCTGAACGTTATTTGAGGAAAACGATTTAAAAACGAATCGCTTGTTCTCAAAAACTATTAGATTGATGAGGCTGAAATTTTGCACAGAGTTAATCCTAATTAAAACTTGCAATCTGATCAAATTCCAGACTTTTTGGGTTTACTTTAACCACTCACTCAATTTTCTAAAAGTTGACCACCGGAAAGGTGGCAGTCAGGGTTGGGCAAGTAAATTACCTTAGGTAAATTACGTGGTTTTTGACCGGTCATAAAGTAGGTAAATTACCCGGGCGAGTTGTCGGCTTTTTGACCTGTCAAAAACCTATGTGGCGCCATCTATTAGCACCTTGTGGAACCGGGAGATTTTTACCGAGAATACCGCCTGTCAGAGTTACAAGGGTCAAAATTCGAAAAAATCATACCCACTGAGGTTATGCCTCGCGAGGGTCAATCGTCGCAAAGGTCATACCTCGCAAGGGTCAAACGTGACAATCATAACTTGCGAGGGTCAAACGTCACAATCATAACTTGCGAGCGTCAAATGATCATAAGCTGTTGCAACAAAGACCAAACGGAATAGTTTCAGATTATTTTTTCTTAATTCATGATCGTTCCACCCTTGTCATTGTTCTGCCTACAGGAGAGATAAGTTGAAAAATCACAAGAGTAAAAATTAAGACGCAGGCAAGCAGGAAAATCACAAACGATCAAGAAACAATCACAAAGTAGGTAAATCATAAGGGTCAATCAGGATAACTAGGCCGTGACCTGTTTGACCCTTGCGAACCTACTTGCTTTTTTTGTTTAAACTTTATGACCGTTGGAACCTTGTAATTGTACCGCCTGGCGTCCCCCGTTGACCCTCTTATTAGTTTCATCCTCCAAATTAAAGGATTGCTTCCATTGTTTGACCCTTGCGACGTTTGACCCTAAGAAAGCATAACCCTTGCGATGTTTAACCTTCGCGAGGATAACCCTCGTGATCGTTTGATCTTGACGATTTCCGGCCGATGTGCCTCTCACTTTTGACCCTTGTGACTTTTTAGCTTAGCTTCCTTGTAAAGAGCTTTCTAACACTTTTTGACATTTTTGACGCCCCAGAGGTAAATTACCGGTATTTGACAATGTCACGTCATAAACTTCCATCTGCGAGATATGCCCAACCCTGGTGGCAGTGGACATGCTCACATACAGACATGGTTGCCAAACTTCGCATTTTTATGTTTCAGACCATTCTACATCATTTCCAATCAACGTTAGATAATATCAAAATTGGACGTATCCAATGCTTCTATTCGGAAGCGAAAATACTTTCCAAATTTGGAGACAATTTTTCATATACAGAATTGGCGGATTTATTCGTCTACATCTTCTAAGGATTTTTGATAATGCTATCAAAATATCTCGGCGATATTTGACAAAATAGTCTGTAAGACCATTTAAAATTTTACCACTTATTCGCCACACATTTTTGATCTATATTTTCATTGCACTGTTCTCGGTTTCGGTTATATGAAAATGCAGTTGGTGCAGGCACTGCGGGATGTGTGGTAGCTTCTCGGCTGTCTGAGCTACCGAATAAAAGTGTGCTCCTAGTTGAGGCTGGAGGGTACTTCAATTGGCTCTCAACTGTCCCTCTTGCCGCACCGCTTATGCAGGGAACTGCTGTCGACTGGGCATATAAAACGGAAACACAGTATTATGCGTCGAGGGGTTTTGTAAAACATGTATTTTACATATTGAATTTAAATCTCAAGAAAGAAATTTTAGAAATTCTCCGAGTTAAACAAATTTGAAATACGTGAATTCGATGAAAGTTCTCTTTGTTTTTTTATAAATCTTTCTAGTTGAATGGAATACAAATTTCAAGTTTTGAATGATAAACAGCACCGAAGGAGTAAGGGATAATTAATCTCCTAGTGATTTCGTAGTTACTTGATAACTGTATTTTTTTCATTAGTAAACTAGTGATGTAACATAAACTATAGTTTTCATTTAATTCTCAGTTAGTTGCGCTATGAGAACTGTGTCACATTTTTTACAATTTTTTGAATGACCTTGTTTTAAAGTCCTACAAAAATAGAAATCTTATTTTGAAGAGTATAGAAGTCCTATCAACAAAAATTTCCATTGAAGACAATTTGTAAAATGAAATGCAGTAGACTCTCGCTAGTTGTGCATCGAAAGGGCTGTAGGGGGTGTGACCGTTCAGTATTTAATTAATATTATTTCCTAAAAGGGGGATTTAGGGCAATTAAATAATGAGGACAAATGAGGGATAAAATTAACTAAATATCTATATTTCTAGTAATTTACAGATTAGATCGTCGTAAGACGTTTGAAATGCCTTTTACTTGGATCTAGGGTTATGGGTAAGGCCAGGCAACTTTTGTACACGTAAAAAGGGGAGTGACTCTAATGCAGAAAAAGGGGAGAAGCTAGTCGTGTCGAGGGAATGCAACTAAATATGAAAAGAATAACTAAATGGGGAAGAAACAAAGAGTGTAGGCTCACCGTTGAGGGGTATGAAGGGTAATATTGTGGGATCAAGAGGGAAAATGAGGGGGGTAACTCTTACTCACGATGGGACTTCACTCTGGCGAACACGTGGAATTCCACCGGCGCCTTGCACTCCTTCCAAATGGCAGGGCGTCTTCCTGGAGAGCCTCCTTTCTACCTCGGGGTTTCCTGGGCACCAATACTAGAGCTGGGATGAGCTCGATGTATCNTCCGGTAGGGCCGGAACTGTTGTCTTTCTTCGGCTGATGTCTTCGTGATGTCCAGTGGCGGGAGTAGAGGGGTGATGAGGGGAAGATCGAGGGAAGGGGTATCCAACGGTGGCGGGATTTTAGTAATTAGGGGGCAGTTTGTAGTTGGGCAAAGTGTAAAATAAAAACAAATAAAAATAAAGAATCGCCTCGTCACAGGGTACCATCCAAAAAATTCGCAACATTTCCACCGGGCCCCACTCCTCAACCACTGCCGATCTAAATTGTCAGAAAAATGAGCGGGAATCAATAGTTTTATTTTCGAATAAAATTATATGGACCTCTGTGGTAAGGATGTTTAACCATTTTCAGCAAATGTTATCTTTTCATGTTCAAGGAAAACTCCATAATTTTTTTGACTGATAGCAGACCATATGAAACTAACTTCTTCGATATTAAAAAAAATTAATCGCAATAGTCTCGCCAGAAATAAATAAACTAATTTTACCTTATACACGGGCTCTTATGGGATTTATGTTGAAATTTATAATTCGCCTACTATAAGACTCTAAAAATAGAAACAAAAATAGCAGATAATGTGCAAAACTATACTGAAATGAATGGCCAGAAAAAGAATTGGGGTACCCGCGCAAAAAGAGGAAATATTTGAAAGATTCTATCCCATATAAGCGCATGTTAGCGCATGCTTTTGGTGCATTTTGTCCACTCCATTTCTAAATAATAAACGTGGGTTGGTGGATTGAAATTTTTATCAAGATAAACGGAATAACTCCATCTCTCAGGTGAAAAAAAAAATTTTTTTCGAATACTTGCCCTTTTGGATAAACATCCTTAACGTACGTTGGAGAAAAGAAAGCGATAATGATAAGGCAACCGAGAGTGGGGGGCAGTGCTCGAGCGTCCGAGAAGGGGATTGGGGGAAGACGCACAATTAACGGGCGTGCAACTAGGGAGAGTCTACTGTATTGAAATTTTTCTACTAAACCTCCATGAGTCGCCTGTCTTACGGAGTACTCAACTTATTGGAGGAATAAATAATTGATAATAACATTCATAGTCAAAATTCTTGCGGGATTCGTCCACGCTACTTGAAAGTTGGTGTTTAAATTTTCAAAAATTTCTTGCATGGATTGGTATACAATTTTGTGCTATGCGGCGCTGCGGTCACAGCACGACGACCAGCGAAGAATGTAATAACAAAAAGAAGTCATGAAAATCACGTGAATCATTCATTTGAATCTCTTTACATCATGAATTGAAATCACGTCTACGGAAACGAATCTCGAATAGTTGACTCATCTCGCTTTCTGACTTTACTATCCAATTGAAACAATTAAAAAATGCGGACTGTTAAATATGTAGTCCTTCAAATTCTTTCATTATTTCAATATTTTAATTGGCGTTATACATATCATTAATATTCCTTCTTAATTATTTCCTAGCAAGCCTCTTGGCCTAGAGGTAAAGGCCTCGGAGGCAGCGGACAGATGAATTTTCTGCTCCATTCCTTCGGAAAACCGGAGGACTACAGACAATGGCCTACTGGCTGGTCCTATCACAACTTAGCACCGTATTTTGATAAAGTTTCGAGGATCATGGGGGTCCCAGGGATCCCTGTAGAAGGAGAGCTAACAAAAATATTCATGGGGATCCGTACTTCGCAATTCAATGGTGATGTCATCATCGAAAACGCCGAAAATACTATAAAACGAGGAAAACGGTTTAGCACTTATCATGCTTATCTCCAGCCGGCTTGGAACCGAAACAATCTTCACATTTTACCGGAGACTTTGGTTGCAAAAGTAAATAAATTTTTCTAGATCAATCCAATCGTCATCGACATTGACGCAGACACGTCTTCGGAGACGTGTTGAGAAAATACGATGGGGAAAAAAAAGATTTTTTTTCTGTTTACATCTAAAAAATTAGGGTGCATCATCTGATATAAGATCCAGGATGAAATGTCTTTCGCAGTCCTTTGGCTCCTGACGCTTCAATTATTGAACCGAGTAGAAACTTTTGTTCGCGATCCCCGTTAAAATGACAGAACGGACTTCAAGGAGATTTTCACAGTTGACCCCTCACGTACCCCTCAAATTTGATCACTTTTGATGAATGGATAATAACAAAACCGATATGTAATTGAACCTACAGTATCCTTCTTGCCCATGTTGCGTGTCTGGTGAAATTATTATCCACAGTTTCGGAAAAGCTCCGTGAAGTTAGCTGACCAGGGTGATCGAATCGGGTCGGCAATCAGATCAAAAATATGGGCTTTTTATGTGCTTTTTTTCTGCAGAAAAATTAAATTTTCTGTTTGAATATTTTGGCCAAAAAATCGATTTTTGAAATTGTGGCGTTAAGCTAGCAGACCAACGGGGTCGAATGGGGATAATTCGTGCACAATGGCACAGAATAAAATAGGTGATAATTTTCGGAAATACTCAATTTCGAAGAGAGTCGTCTATTTATGTAGATTAAGGTCGCTGCCTGGCAGGGACCCCATACGTCAGGGGTTAATTAGTTCAGGACCCCCGTTATAACTTAGGCTATAAATTATTGCGATGTGTTACATATTGGAGAACTTTCTGGAGAATTATAGAATTATGCGGGGAATTAAGACAATTAGCCGGTTTTTGAACATTCAAGAAAATTTTCAAATTCTAAAATTGAAAATCACAAAAACGTCGGACTGTCCAGAACATTCGCGAGTTTCTGAGAAATAAAAAAATAGAATTTGGAAAAATTGGCAGATTATCCGAAAAATTCAGAAAAAACTAATGTTTGAGGAAATTTGTGAGGGATTAAAAAAAATTTTAAAGTCGCGAGGAAGTGCGTTCAGAGAAATTTGCACGTTTTTACCCCCGCTGCCCTCAACAGTGTCCACCTTGAGAATCTTACGGGTGTATCATACAGTTACAGCCACCTTCAAATGTTTTTTCTCATCGAGAGCACTGATTCGAGCAATGATAAGAAAGAAGGTGAAAATGAAAAAAAAAATGAAACGCCGTATTGAAGTAGAGTAATAATCAATCTAACGAATGAAATTGGCTCCACAGTCGTGTGATTTTTTTTTGTGAAGTCTTCAAAGTTTGCGGACTACACTTTTGAAAAAGATAGTAGAACTAGTTTTTGAAGATCCAAATTCTTCTCCGCTATTTTTTTATCAAGGCAAACGGGTTATAATGATTTCTTTATTCATTCTTTCAGATTTTATTTGATGACGATAAGAAAACTGTGGAAGGGATAAAAGCAAAATTTAAGGATGGAACACTGGGAAGGATTGCAGCAAATGATGAAGTAATTTTGTGTGCTGGAGCCGTGAATACACCACATTTAATGATGGTTTCCGGAGTTGGACCTTTCGAGGAGCTCAGACAAAATCAAGTATGTAACATTGAGGATTTCGTGGGAGGTTCCTATTTTAAAAAGAACATACACTTAAAGCTGATAACTATCGATATCTCGCAAGTCTGTCACGCTCATTGCTTCCGAATGGAAGGTTTGTAATCGTTCAAAATTAAGTTTCCAAATTTTTGTGTCAGGGTAACTAAATATGGTCTAAAAAGTCTAAATATGCGATTTTTAGATGGTGTCTGTATGTATGTATGTATGTATATATGTGTGTGTACTTTTTTCAATTTTTTTCGCAATTTTCGTTATAGGAGCTTCAGGAAATTTCATGAATTTTTCCATGGATATAGACGTTAATAGGCTCTATTCATCGACACCAATTAAAGTTGAATTATTCATAGAGTTTGTGAAATATTGGTATTTTTTCAAAAATCTATTTTTCGACCCTCAGTCCAAGAATTGTTATCAGAATGAAATGAATCATGGCTTAAAAAATTTGTATTGATAGCCTCTTGATTCTATCAGAATATGATGCGGATCGCATCTATCACTGTTGAGCTACAGCATATAGTTTGTGAGATTTTTTTTTCATTTTTTTCATGATAAACTGGAAAAATTAACAGTCATATCAATGAAATCATGGCTCAAAAAGATTGTTTTGATGCTTTCTCGATGAAGTGCAAAGATGATGAAAACAGCATAACTATTTATTAAGGGTTCCATGACATTTTATAAATGCAGTGACGGTTCAGATAAAGTGATATGGAAGTCCAGTGCCTATCAGAATGGATGCAGATCATGCTGCGATTACCAATTTTTGGTAATTTTTATCTTAATTGTTTCATAATGAAATAGAATGCGAATAACGTAATCAAATAGAATATCAATTTTCATCACAAGATTTTGTTTTCAATGGTCTTTTTTTTCGAAAATTTTGTCTTCTGAAGTCGTTTTTTAAAGATTTTTTTCCAAAATAAGGATCAAAAAACCCTAGGATGAAATATCCCAGAATGAAATGGCCTAGAATGAAATGGAAGGATGAAAAGTCCCGGAATGAAAAAGTTTGGGGATGAACTGTCCTGCTACCGGTGTCACTATTCAAAACAATAAAAAATAAGAGTAATAAATCTCAAAAATAAAGAATCCATTCGGAAGCATATTGCTAATATGTTAGCAACATAAACTATACCCATATACAGAAAATGTTATTATCCACTTGTTCCTCATTGGTTCCAGTCGTCTGAGGCGACAAATTTAATTCATGATTAATTTAGTTTTGAGATTTTCAATTATGACTGTTACAATTACAGCGCGCTGTAGCACGCGTTCGTTCTCGTATTTTAAAGACGTGAGCCTTTTTTCGAGACATTTCTCTGTGGTTTCTACGGTTTTGGTGAGATTTCATTTTCCCATTAGAAATTAGAGACGAATTTATTCATAATGAATGCCAAACAAATTCGCCTTCCTCACCCCCCAAAACATAAAATCCGATGATGAAATTGCATCGAACTGTTAATCATCACGGAAGGGGGTATGGCATTATGGGCTATGTTTCTGGCAATTCATTCAAGTACACAAAAACTTACAATTCAGTAGCGAAGCGGTAAACCGGGTTAAGTCGATTTTGACTATTTGCCAGTTTTTGACAAATATCTCGGAATCCAAAAGAGATAATTTTTTGTCATGATTTTTTTTTGTAAAGCCAATTGAGGGTTATAAAAGAGGTCATGATAAAAATTTTGCTATTTCTGTTAGATTTCAAGATATTAATCCAAAACTAAACTAAAAGTCAAAATCGACTTAACTCGGTTTACCGCTTCGCTACTAAATTGTACTAAACAAATGTTCAATTCGTTTTGGTAGATACCTGTGATTAAAAACATCTCAGAAGTAGGAAAGAATCTATTCGATCATCTGAATGTCCCAATATACGTTTCTCTGGAGGCACCAGTAAGCATTACCCTGAGGAAAATGCAGACACTTGCAGAAATCATGAAATATTTCGTCTTTGAGTCCGGAATATTGGCAACCAACGGGGTAGTCGGTACAGCATCTCGAGGAAACAGTGGATTTGTACTTTTTGGAGTTGGAAGTCAAGATGAGAAATTGTTAAACGTTTCAAATTACGAAACAGAGGTAAATTCAAGAAAACAAAATTACGCTGATCTTTGACATCTCGGTAAATCAACCGAAAATAGACAAACTTCTCTCATCCTTGGTTTTCTTTCCTCTTTGTAATACAGTGATTCAAAAACAAAATTCGTTGAATACTTTTTTCTTATCTATCTATTTGCATCATTATGATTCCTTATGGTTTCAACAATTATAGGAACTAAAGTCGAGAATTTCTTTGTTAATAATTGTTTCAATGAAGACAAACTGATGAACGTTTCTCCTCTATTCTGTAGGTATTCAGAAGTGTTTTCCCCTCATATAATAATTCCACTCAAGAAGGAGTTCTCATCTTGGCGACCTGTCTACAGCCCCAATCTCGAGGAAACATCACTCTGAATACTTATACGATTCTGGACCCTCCTCGAATCGATCCAGCTTATTTAGAAGATTCCGAAGACGTTCGTTGCACCCAGGATGCAGTTAACTTAGTTTTGGATGTAATAGAGACCTCAGATTTCCAAAAATTAGGTCCCAAGATCCACACTCCTGATATTGAAGACTGTCGACGTTTTTTACAAAATTACAGAGATGAAAATTACTCTGAGTGCATAATGCGATACTCCGCTGTAACTGCCTACCATCCGGGAGGTAGTTGTAGGATGGGCGATGATAGAGAAGCAGTTGTTGATAGGAAGTTACGGTAATGAGAACCATTTTTATACACTTCCTTTCTCTGATTTCTCATTTATTCTCAAAATGTTCTGAAAAAATTGGCCAATTTTCTGAAAGCCCGAGAATATTCTAGATTTTTTCAGGAGCTTCCGGAATTCTGCATGCTTTCTATAAAATATTTTCTGTTGAACATCTCCATTGAAAAATTGCCATATTTTCTCCTCATTCCTTAATTTAGAAAAAAGTGCCCCAAAAAATGTTTTATGGATATTCGAGTACTTTGTTCAACCTTAGAAACTTTTTTCAAACAAGATTTCAGTTTTGTCTACAATCTTGCAATCCCCACACATAATCGGATTTTTGTTGCTTCCGAATGGAAGCATTGTAATCGTTCAAATTTAAGTTTTAGATTTTTCATGTTATATCGACCTATTATGATCCAAAAAGGCCGAACATGTAATTTTTTGACCGTGGCGGTACGTATGTATGTGTATGCGTACGTATGTACAGTCGAACACTAAAGTTTGTGAACAGAATACATAGGATACAAGTTCAGGTTGTTCACGAACTTTAGTGCTCGACTGTACAATAATTTACGAAAGTTCTAAAACAATCTGAACTTGCATCCTATGTATTTTGTTTCAGAACTTTAGGTAACGACTGTAAACGAATTTTTCTTCGATTGTTCGCTAATGAATCAATGTAATTGCATCTTTTTTTTCCTCAAATGTAGGTATTGTTGAGCCCCATCAATCGCCATTAATTAAAATTTAATTCATCTATCAATTGTTTCAATTTTTTAGATTTTTCAAAAATAGGTTTTTCACGATAACTAAAAAAATTTTCGGAATTGATTAAATGATGATTGACAAAGTTGTTTGAATGTCCTTTTGACTGAGTTCCCTAAAAAATCCCCTAAAAAAAATTTCTGAAATCCTTAAATGATTGCTTAAAAAATTTGTTTGGGTATCCTTTTGACCAAGTTCGAAGATGAAGGCGATAACAATAATCGTTATTTTGATTTCTTTGAAAATTTAGAAAAATTTTGTATTTTTTGAAAATCAGAATTCCTGGCATGTTTGGATATCATGTTTCAAATGAATTTAATCATAGCTTAAAATGTTCGTTTCACTGATACTAAGTTGAAGTTAAAAGATGATTACGACAGCTATATTGGTTGATGTGATTTTTATGATGATTGTTGAAAATTTCGAATTTTTCATGAATTTGTCTGAAAGTGAGCTTTCTAATGGCTTCTTAAAATTCAATGTTTCAAATTTATTCAAGGATACATAAATAATATTTTTCTATCAACATTTGATCGAAGGGCCGATGAGAGAGATAGCACTGTAAAAAGACAATTGGTTATATAGAAGAAATGGATGATAAGAATAATGATGATGATAACGTTAGAAAGAAATCTTATTCAATTCAATCAAGTGAAATAAGCAATGAATTATACATGATAGAACGAAATGATGTGCAAAATAACCATTCAGAAGCATATTGCCAATTGATTAGCAAAAATAACTATACTATATTCAATACAAAAGCAATTTCCCACTTCTTGTTCATTGTTGAATACATTTTGTCAGGAATTTCTTCAATGAATTTCTTATGGACGCAATGTGTCAAATTTCATTTTTTTAAAATCCCTTTCTCGAAAAAATGTTTGGAAACTGAAGTTGATATTGCACCTCAAAAATACTCTTGGTCTATTTTATAAGCTCTGAAGAGGATTGCCCCCAGAAAAAAATAGGTAAACTACTTGGATATCCTTAAGGATAAAACATTTTCTTTTTGGTATCAATTATTAACGTTTAGAATAGTATGCAATAATTTAAAATAATTACTGGTGGTTTTTTCCTTTTAGGGTACATGGCATAAAAAAACTAAGAATCGTTGATGCAAGTATCCTTCCCACTCCAATATCTGGAACGCCTAATTCCGTGATAATTGCGATGGCGGAAAGAGCAGCGGATGTAATCCTCAATGTGCCATTAAAACAGTAAATGAAATCATGCACTATGTAATCATTTGAAAAGTTTTGTATGTCAAAATTACTGAATAATATTACAAATTTAAATCTTTTTATTCTTCTGCAACCCACAATCATTAATGTGACGGTCTTCAATGGTGAATTTCTGAAAAAAAGAAATTCCTTGTTTTCATATTAAGTTCCGATTTTGGTATGAACAGTGAAGTCATGAAATAATATGAGCACAGAGAAAGAAATGAGTTAGCTTTAGAAAAGATTTTCAAAGAAATTGTAGCTCTTATGATATTACCCGATGGGATTGTGGGTAGGCAAAATCGGACAAGTGGATTAGAACATATTCAACTTTTTGTGAAAAAATGTTTTGGTCAATATCTCCCAAACTACTTGTCCGATTAATTTTTTTTTCCAAAATACTCGTCTTGCCACCCCCTACCAAGATCAATTAAAATGAAATATGAATATCCGCTCATACAAAGTTTTTGAGATATATTCACGTTTTTCTAATTTTTTCAATTGAGAGTAAATATGGCGTCCCATAATACGTGTAAAACTTGGAATAAACATTTGAGATTCTGGCTCTTAATTAGTATTATTGAGTCACACTTGTGTATAAAATTTTGTGTCGATCGATTCAATACATCCTGATATAGAGCAATTCATGTAAAAATCTTTTTTTCTAAAAAGTCGCACATCGTCATTTTATCGACTATTTTCGCCTCTGAGGCTTACTTTCGACTTATGCGAAGACGGATTTGGGTTTGAACGAAATTTCGTTTACGGAATGCACATGATAATCCTGCAGGTGAGAATAAGACCCTAGAATGCCTTAAAGTCTTGTAATGAAAATTGATGTTCTTTTCTATTTTATGTGATGTAATACTTGATAGAGTAGCGATGAAAAGAGGGAGTTGACGTTGAAAAAGAGAATATAGGAAACATTTTTTCAGCGAACAATTTTGCCGGAACGATTTTCAGGGGAAAAATCATTCCTACGATTCCTACAGATCCATTCGGAAACTTATTACCAATGGAATGGGTAGTTCACTCTACCAATTCCATTGGTAAAAAGATAAAAGACTAATAATACATAAAGTAACGGTCACATTGCTTCTGTCGAATAGGCTCACCACCCTGCTTGTTTTCCAAAGCTAATCCACTTTTTCTCGCTGTAAGTCAATAACGACATTTTTCATGAATTACCTAAGTATCTATTAATGAAGAATATCCCAACGAAGCCAAAGGCCGCTGAGAAGAACTGGACGAGACCAGATGAGCGTCTCGGACTGTTATGCCATCGTGCTCTCTCTCGGGGTAAAACTTCACTCACTGTTACATAGAGGAGAGTTCCACCAGCCAGTCCTTGTAAAACTGACAAAATGATTTTTCCTGACGCTGTTTCTAGCTGAAGATTAGAATATTATCATTTTTTAGATGAAAATCTATTTACAGATACAATTATCAACACCACTTCTGTATAACTAACATTTTCATCACGCTATGCGAAAAAGTAACTTTTTAGGCATGCTTTGCGTGCGTTCGCGTGCCTAAAACGTCCCTTTTCCACACATCGTGGTGAAAAATATTGTTCGATACTCATGGGAAAAGTGTTTTTTGGCGCGTGGGAGGTTTATATGAGCCTTCGGCTTGTGCTATAAACCTTCCACGAGCCAAAAAACACTTTACCGCACTTGTATCGAAATATACTATTTTGACACTGCTGCTACGTTCACCTTGCGCGGAAAAGGACTTTTTCATTTACTCGTAAAGGAAAAGTAAACAAAAAAGGCACAGTTCGGCTACTCACTGAACGTAACATCACTGTCAAAAAATATTGTTCGACACATGTGAAATGGGAATTTTTACGAGTGTGATTGACAGCCCTCGGCTTCGCCTCGGGTCGCCAATTTCATACTCGTAAAAATTCCGTCTCGTATCAAAATATACTATTTTAATACTGCTGCTACGTTCACCTCGTGCCGAAAAGTGCCTTGTCGTTTACTTATCAACGAATAGTATATTTCAGGGCGAGTGCCATGGGGTTTTTTACTCGCGTGGAGTTGGCGTCCCATGCAGGGCAATACAAAGTGACCGAACATCGGGCCAAACTCGGCGCCGAGTTCCCCGATAATCGGTTGCGATCTTCGGCCGAACGTTGGGACGTTACTTCGGGCCATATTAGACACCGATGTACGGCCAATATCGGCGTCGATTATCAGCCAATCATCGGTGAAACAAAATTTTAAAATCATTCATACATATTAGTTCCAATAGTTTATAATACTTTTATAACCCTTCTTATCCATTCCAGTAAATAAAACAATAAAAAAATGGAATTTAAAAAAATAAAAAATTGCCCCCGGTGGGATTCGATCGCGGGTCCTTCTGATCTGTAGTCAAGTGCGCTGTCCACTGAGCTACCTAAAATTTCTTATGAAGACAGATTTTTTTCGGGGATATAACTACCACATGGTGTGTTTGTTTGAATCCGCGAATGTGATTATCAATAATTAATTAATGAAAGTGTAACTCTGATGAGAAGAGTTAATTAATTAATTTACAATTAATTCTTATTATTCTTCAAATATTTAGGCTTTCATTTTGGGGTATCGATATCTATATTCTGTATATTAGGAAAGAAGATGAATGCATACTATCCATCCATTTATTCGAAAAATAATCTACAAATATTAAGTCGGTTCCGATCATCGCCCGTGGAGCGGTCTTTCATCGGGGCCCCGACGTTTGGTGCCCGAATATTGGACCAATGTTTGGCCTTTGATCAGAGCCCCCATATTCGGCAAGCAGATATTGGCCCTATGTTTGGCCTTTAATCAGAGCCCCGATGTTCGGCGAGCAGATATTGGGCTGATGTTTGGCCTTCCATCGGGGACCCGATGTTCGGCGAGGAGATATTGGGCCGATTTTTGGTCTTTCATCGCGCTCCGATATTCGGCGACCGGATATTGGACCGATGTTTGGCCGCATTGTATATATTGGCAAATCCTGCATGGGGTCCGAGCCGGAGGCGAGGACTGGCCAACCGCGTGAGTAAAAAAAACCCATGGGACTAGGCGTGATCGATACTTTTCCGTAGTGATTTTCAGTTTTACGAGTTTGGGGAATAGTCAATACCAATCCCCGGACGAGGAAAAGTGAAGATCAGTGCGGAAAAAGTCTTTTCCTTTACTTGTTTTCGACCGAGTGACGAACATCATTTTTCTTCATAATACCGTCATACTTCGGCATTTGCCGAAGATAAAGTGTCGTAAACGACGTTTTACGGACAGTGTGATGAAATAGTATATTTCGATACGAGTGCGGAGTATGTTTTTTTGCTCATGGGAGGTTTATAGCACGAGCCAAAGGCATCGAAGGTGAGTGATCCCACGAGCCAAAAGTTTTTTTAGGCCGTCTGTCGAATGATATTTTTTGTCATTCTGGCCATAGCTACGCGTTCGTAAATCGCTGCCTTACGGCCAGAATAACGAAAAATATTGTTCGATACATGTGAGACAGGAATTGTCAGCTCGTGTGATTGGCAGCCTTCGTGGAAGTTCCGTCTCACTCGTATCGAAATATATTATTTTCTCTCAATAGTCCACACATTTCACTTACATTGAACGCCAACATCCCCAGACCAATTCCTAAAGATGAACCTCCGGAGAAGAATAACATCGCAGAAATGTATCTGCAAACTGTACTTGCAGATTCTGCAAGCTCCAGGCCCAAACAGAAAGCCATCACCAGTTTATGTGATACTACAGCTCCTATTAGCAGAAAAACTTCATCGACTTGCTTCTGTAAACCAATGGCAAGTCCCTCCAATATCGAATGAATGGTTAGAGCTAGCGCAAGTGCAATGTGAGATGTACTGGAATTGGCACAAGGCTCCACGTGTGGTCCATGACACAAAAAGGACTCTTCTTCATCAAGGGGCTGAGGCGCAGTAGAAAGTGCGCCATATTGATAAGTATTCTTCTTCCTCGTGAAAAAATTACTGTGAGCACTGAGCACATTTGGCTCAAATTCTGGATTCCGATGAAGGAACCCGTCATTGCAGTTTTGATAAGAGGCGCGGCGCGTTGGTGCATAATTGTGGGAATAGTCATCATGTCCACTGCAATCAATTTAGAAGTTAATTTAGTAGTTTAGTCAAAAACCAATATCGAAATCAAATATAATTCGATCTGAACGAAAACATTGCATTTTTTTTTTATCGTTATTTTACATGACTTCGACCTGGTTAGGGTATACTGCGATGATGATCAAGACTTTAAGGATAATCGGGCGAGGAGGAAATGTAGGAGGTGAGGCGGAGGGGGTTCTATTGTTTTCCTGCAGAAAACCAATCGCTGAACAAAAAAAAATTTCCCATTCGGATTCAAAATTCAGGCAATATTAGGGAGTATCTCCGGTTAAAAATTATTTTTGAAGCTAATCAAATTTATTTGTATCTGTTTCACGCATTGAATGGTTTCCACATTGTTTTTTTTTAATAAATGAAAAAATATTAATCCATGTGAAAAAGTGGCAACATCGTCGGTAGTTTTTTTTTCTCCAGGAGCTGGTACCACTCGCTCGAGGGAGCTCCAATCACAACGCTTCATCGCTCTCTCTCAAGAGACGTTTAAATAGACCGCGCTACCCCCACCCGATCGGGCTGCTCGTTTGGGCTGCGTGCGCAGAAATTTCATTTTTCAGTACTTTTTTCGTTATTATTAATAAACAATGGTCCTAGGCGACAATCTTTTTCACTCAAAAAATCATTGATCACATGTTCTAAACGTGTCTAAAGTTTCATGACTTTGGCTGCATTTTTTCCTTGGGTTTTGCAGTTTTTCTGGTGATTTCCATAACATCCCGGGTTAAATGACCACTTTTTCAAAAATTCATAATAAATTAACCATGCTCCCCAGCAGTCTGAAACTTTGCACACGCTTTTTCCATCATTTAAAGAATACGTAAAAAAAAGAAAAAAATGGCTGCTTTTTTTGGGCGGGCCAACCGTCCGGGCTGGCCCGATTATCCTTAAATGGTTAGATCGCACCATTCTACCCGGTCGCGATTTGAACTCGGAACGTTTCGCATGTGAGGCAACAAACTTACCCACTGCGTCAAGCCACCGGGCAAAAAATTGCATTTAGTAGGAAATAATATCAAAAGTAACATGCCAAGTTTTCGGGACGCTAGCTTTAAGGGAAATTGTTTTTAAAAATCGGAAACTGCAAAATTAGAACCCTGCGAGACCTTTCTCGTCTTACGCTGCCGAAACGGTTATAGTTAGAAGAAAAAAGCACAGGATATAATTTTCTGGCATTATCTACCATCAATAGCTTCGGTGCTATATGCGCGTCCAAACTTTTAGCACAAAAACACTCCCTCGCCGCAAACGCCAGAAAGTCCATTTTTGTTTTAAAATTGAAAGAAAACATCCAATCGATCCAAACGATCCTCCAGGAGACTTTTCCAATTTCCGAGAATGTTTTCAACTGAAGGGACCGTTTGTCCACATTTCCTCTGATTTGTTTTTCATGTTTTAAATGATTACGGAATCAACGTGAATTTTTTATTCCTTGCACGTCATGATTGACTGATCAGTGGGCTATTCCGATAATGAATATTGTTGAGGAGACTGTTTTCACTCATCCAGTTTTGTACAAGTTTTTTTAAGACAGAGCCGTCATGACAAAATCGAGCTGAGCTATAGAAATATCAGAAAAGTCGAGATTGCTTATTTGAATATCTTAAAAATGGGAGGTTTGGGAGAATTCTTTAAATTATCACTGAAGAAATAAGTCTCTAGAATTAAGTTATTAATTTTAAGAAATTTATGGTTCTAGAAAGCCTCCTACAGAGTGTTGCTTAATTTCAGAAGAAAAATCCCCCAAATTCAATACCAAAAATCTACTTGATCCCAAACTTCAGAACCGTACGGTTTTCGAATTGAAGACCCGTGCATTCTTGAACTGAAATTATTCGAAAGGGATAAAATTCTGAGTCAATGTGTCTTGTGATATTCCCTGAATAATTAAGGATTCATGAAGCTGAGTAGATTGATTTGAGAGCACGAAAAATAACTAATTCAAGAATGCGACTGTTATAAATTTGAGGACCCTGACGTTCTTCATTCAACAACCACAAGATTCTTATTTACTCTATTCTAGAGACGCGAAAAATTCATGAAATTCAAAATTCATTTATTCATGATCTATTGCCAATAAAGTAAAACAGATGCTTAACTTTGTTCTTCGGAGTGCAACGAACATATAAAAAAAAGCTAAAATCGTATGAAAACTACGGCGTAAGGAGCATTCTGAAGGTAAAAACATGAAAAAATGAAGTTTTTCGTGGTTGTACGGGGCAAAATCAGTCGGGTTGGCGATTTCCCTTAGTTATTTCCATATTCCGTCATATACCAACAACTGTTCAATGGGACCCAAGGCCCAATCAAGGCTCTTAAATTTCACCGACGTATCCCCTTAACAATTCAAAATTTCCGAAGTCTAGAGCCAAGATTATTTTTTAAAAAGAGAAAATATGCCTTAATTTGAGTACAATTGTACAGGCTTGAAGTAAAAATTAATCAGAATTAAAATTTTCATTCTCTCATTCTTAGGAAAAAGTTTGTTAAAATAAGTATTCGTACGAGATAGGTCCCGTGATAAATTCACGTAGACCTTTGTATTCGCAAGATATCCATCAACTACGTTAGGAACATATCTTATTCTATAACTCCATTTACAGTAATATCTCGTTTTGAAAATCATAGAACTTACTGACTATGTCCTGATCCATCGCCCTTCATAAGAAAATAATGTGCAATCTCATCAACAAGATAAAGAAGTAGAAATCCGCAACAGAATACAAGTTCCCCGTAGTCTGGCAAATCTTCTTTTGTTTCTGGTAACATGTGGAGCATTGATGTAGCTAGAAGCACTCCGCCACCGAAACACAGGAGCGCTGATAAGTACAGTCTCGTCTGCAGTGCTCTTCCTCGATTGAATAAACATCCTGGGATTAGTCCAACGATGAAACTTGTCACACCGATTGTCAACATCGATATAAACTTCACCTCAATTATTGTCAGAGCCATTTTCTTCTGTATCGAAAACTGTAAATGTTTCTAGGAAAATACACGGTCGACTGATAACGAAACAGATCACAGATTACAGTTGAATCACGTGATTAAAGATGGGTTTTTGTCGAACTATCACGTTTTTTAAATTTTTGGGTCGCTGCATTTGCTTGAAGTATAAAATTCCTGGAATAAAAAAAAATCGTGAATTTTTGTAAATCGAAAAAAAAAATGATAATTGAAAAATGGATCAGAAATATTGAATTATACGTAGAATTATTGTAATAATATTTGAAGTAGCTTTGTATAGTAAATCCACATTCAAAAACACTAATAAAATCACTCTGTCCTATATGAGGTGCAAAATGTAAAATAGATTTTTATGCGAAGTATTTGCTCATCTCCTGTTGAAAATTTATTTGAATGTAACGAAACATGTGTATGTGCAACCATTTTTCTTGACACGAACATCATTTGATTTTCTATAAAGAATGCTCTAAAATTTATGTGGTCACAAAAAAATAAGGTTTGTTTCATAAGAAAGTATTTTACTTATGAAAAAAAATTCAAGCGAAAATTCTAGCATATACCCATGTGAAGGGAAAAAATCAATAGAAATTTAGTATTCCTACACAACTTCTTAGTTAAGATTTTTCCCGTAAAAAAATTTGGGAACAAATTTTCCATGTTTTTCACTGTTTTTTTTTCTTTTCTTATTAAAATTGGAAACTAAATTGGAGATTAAAAAATGTAACGTTTCGGTTAGACTTCTCTGTTTGGGTATTGCGATTAGAGGTTGATTCATGAGTAATCCTTGTGACGACTCGTTTCAAGCCCGTGCCTAACTAATCCAGGGTTATCGTAAAACCCTTGTTCGACTAACTATTACAGCTTGGCTTACGGGGGGTTCACTCACTTTGAGATATGGATTGGGAAGGTGCACCACGAATTCAACACTTGGTATTTAACTCTTCACGGAGCCCTTTTGCTTCCAAGTGTGGTGTACGCTCGATACAACTATAAAATTCGATGACTTCTATTCAATGGAAAATGATAAAAGCGATATTTAATTGAAGCTTCAGTATTCCTTTTCTCGATGTCATTCATCTGGTTGAGTTGCTCTCTATAATTTTGGAAATAATCAATTGGAAAAAGAGTCATTCACATTTTTATGGATCGATAGCATAGTAAAAGGATGGTGTATTTACTATAAACTATTGCTAAAATACACGATAGTGTTTAAGACTAGGATTCGGGATATGCGTGATTGAAATAGAACTGATCGCTTTGGACTCGACTATCCAATTCGGCTCTCAATCGTACTCTGGGTTTCAAGGGGTTTAGAAAAATGACAAAGCCTAAAACTGCTGATTAAATACAAACATGTTTCAAACTGTTTTTTGAAAAGAAACTGGATTCCGAGTAACACTGTCAGAATGCTTACTCTGCTCTTGGACAGGCGGAAAGACATTACATTTATTTTCCCCCCACTTTTTTATATTAAGGGGGGACTACTAAGAGTTTTAAAAATCGCGGACTATTGGAGTGAGATTTTTCGTGCATTAAAGATCGATTATATATATGTCCAAAATCGAATAATTAGTGCAAAAAAATTAATTGTTTATAGTTCGTTTGCCCCGTAGACACTTCAAATGCTTAAAATAGTCCAGGGCCTCCAATTTTTGAGTCACAGGGTTTTTTTTCAAAATTTTTGAAAAAATGTATACAATACTAATTACGAATTCGTTTATTGAAATTCGACAGCACATCTAATTTCGTTTTGTTTGATATAAAAATTTGCCACATTCATGTAAAATAGGCAGAAAAATTATCCCTTAAATATTTGAAATAAATTCTCGATTCTTTCAGAAACATTTTTCGGGGTATTTTACATGAATGGTGCAATTTTTTTATTAAAAAAATAATTAAATTAGCTGAGTAGGAGTTGAATTTTGAAAAAACTAATTCGTATTTGTTATTGCACACATTTTTTTTTTAATTTTGAAAAAACATAAAGCTTTGTAGCTCAAAAATTGGAGGCCTTGGACTATTTTTAACATTTTAAATGTCTGTGGGGCACGCGAACTATAAACAATTAATCTTTTTGCACTAACGATTCATTTTTAGAGAAATCTTAATGAGATTAATGAGAAATCTTCAAATAGCCCATGACTTTTAAAACTCGTAGTAGTCTCCCCTTAATTGCAACTACGACATATTCATTCCCAATACATCACAAAAACTAAAAAAAAAATACGCTGAGAAGTTCCTAATGGAGAAAATCTTGAGGAAATATACATTGCATAGAAAATTCCAATTTCTTTTTTTATATCACTCCATGCAAAAGTTGAGAATGAAGCACGCTGCGCGGTGCATTTTTATACCATTCAGGGATCAAGTTCATTTTCAACTAGTGTGAGTGCAGACCTTGAGTTCGGCACGGCCTGTAAAATTCATATTCGTCTGAAACGGAATTTGTGCCCGAGTGCTGTAATATGTTATTAAAGGAATAAAAATGTATTTATCGAATATTATCTGTAGAATAGTTCTATTCTAAAAAACGTTCCGAAAACGACAAATTTTCCAAAACAAATCAACAAAAAAACCACTAATAAAATCGCAATTTGATCACAAATTTGGGTATACATGCAAAAACAATTTTTTTAAATAAATTTCTTACGTTTCAAAAAAAAATTTCCACGTCTCCATCAACTCCGTCGTTTCACTTCATTTTATTCCATGAAATTGTGACATAACAACTCGATTGAAACTCTTTTCCAAAATTTTTAAAAGTTTCATGTTCTATTGTTCATGAATAAAGAAACTGTAACTCATCATTCCTGTATTTCAGCAGAAACCTCGACAGAAACTCATCGAGATACTGACCACGGCGAACGAATATAATACAATACCGATAACTTTTATCATTGCACAAAAATAATTTCAGATAATTCCTTCTATCTGCAGGCATCATTCTCGTATTCCCCGCATACATTGTCCCAAAATTTTTTCGACTCCAAATGAATGAAGCAATGGATGAACAAAAAAGATAACATATCTTATCGTACTAGTTTTGGGATACTTGAGGAGTAAGCCTGGGGCAAAACTTGAATCATGAAAAAATATCGATACGCATTATATGCGTGTGAGCGATCAAAGACATTTATTGATTTTGTGTCATTTGGATGAAAATTGAAGTAATTAATAAACGAATGCAGATGTACTCATTTTTGGATATCTACGCGGGGAGATCGATCGATGGCAACTCAACAGAGGGCTGATTAGTGGATTGATGGTCGATCGATGTTCGATCAACGATCAACTATTGACCGCTGATTAACTGGCGGTTGACTGACAACGAGTCCGTGTAACTCAGAGTTGATTCTATCATTTTTATTATTTTATTTTGAATGACAATATAAAACACTGGAAAAGTGACTTGAGAAGACTAGCATAACATTTATTAATTGTACGTATCGTAGTATTTTAATAATTGATGTGTTTGTTTGTAATTTGTTTGGTTTCCAGAAGCCTGAGGAAGCTTAAATTATAAGCGAAACATTTCCCATGATCCTGCTTCCTTAATATCAACTATGGAGATGAATAAAAATTTCATTAGTTCTTTAAAATGTTGTATCGAAAAGTATAGCCCAGAAGGTACATGTTAAGAAAGAGGGCCGCACCACCGATCCGATGGTTAAGTTTTCAGGAAGATCGGTGGTGGGGGGCCCTCTTTCTTAACATTTACCTTTTTTTTCAATTTTAATTATGAGCCACTGAGAATAGCAAAAAAAATGAACCCGTAGATTTTGTTAGAAATTTTGTCAGCATTTCGAAAAAATATTGTTTTTATGTATCTATGTATTTTGGCATGGAAAACTCAAAAAGAGAATTTCAAGCGTTCAGTTGTGGTTGTTCCCCACCTTTTTTTTTCATCGTAAAGTTCAGAAAATTTCCTGATGAACATCTATTTTTAATTTCGGTGCTGTGAAGAATTTAGAAGCAAAATGGAGAGAAAAACAAAATTTAGTCCTCCCAAAAAATTAGTTTTCCGAAAATATCCCGGAACCTTCGATTATTCGGGCTCGGCCGGCTATATCCCCCTTCTTTGAGTGGTGGTCATTTCTTTGAGTAATGTCATGACTTCTCTAAAAAAAATTGTGTAACGCCAACTGTTCAATGCTTTGAGTAGCTCGAATTGAGAATAACATAATTTTCTTTTTTAACTACTGTCCAATGTTAGAGAGGTGACTTCACCTCCAGACAATTTTCATCTATAAAAGTTCAATAGAATTTTCTAACGGGCGCGCTAGTTCTTTTTCTCCGTGTCCAAAATGTTCTAGAGCTGCGGGACACCCCCAAAAAGCGCTTCTAAATCGATCGACCACTCGCATTCTAATGCGTAGTTCTTTTTTTTGAACAATGAACTATGATCACGGCACGTCAAGTAAACAATTTCCAATCAATTTTAGGCATTGCAACTATTTATTATCAACAATTTAATTGTTCAAATCCCCCTAGCGCCTAAACTATGAAAGATATACGAAAATTTATGGATCACGAATCATTTCGAAATTGATAAGGAATAATTTTTGTTTTTGTCAATTTCACATATCTTCTTTAGATTTCGAAATATGAACCAGGAACGAGTTGCGTGACCCAACACAGCGCTCTCAAGCCCACCGCGCGCCGCAAGTGGAGAGCGCTATGTCGGGTCGCGTAACTAGTTTATTGCTCATATCTCGGAATCTACGAGAGATACGTAAAATTGATAATCGACAAAAATTATTCCTTATTGAATTCTTGATGATTGAGAATTTGAAAATCTTCGTCAATACTTCATAGTTTGGGTGCTAGGGCGATTTGAACAATTTAATTGTTAATAATAAATAATTCCAATGCCTAAAATTAAGGATGTTCGACACCCTTTTAGCCAAAATTGACGTTGTTTTCATTTTTCTGGCAAATTATCGATGGGAGTGACGTGAAAAAATATAACGATTTTGTGGTTTGTCATTCTTTAATGGCTCACGAAGTTGCGTAGTGGTGCGATAATTTTCATGCGTTTTTTCTACAGTTTTGTGATTCTTTTTAAAAGTTTAGAGAAAACGCAGGAAAATGTTCGCACCACCTTAAAATTTCGTCAGTCATTAAATAATGACAAAACGCAAAAACGTTATATTTTTTCACGTCAATTCCATCATAAGTTTGCCAGAAAAATTAAAAAAACGTGAATTTTGGCAGAAAGGGTGTAGAACATCCTTAATTGAAAATTGTTTACTCGACGTTTAGTGATTATATTTTATTGTTTACAACAAGTACGCATTAGAACGCGAGTGGTCGGTACATGTCTGAAAATCGAGGGTGTCCCGCAGCTCTGCTATAGGGTAAACGCGCTTGCCCAAGTAGCAAACTTTGCGAAAGATATCTGAAAGTATACCAAAAAGGCAGACTAATGTCCGTCCAAAAGGTATCTTACAGTCATACGATAACTTTTAGTTAACTTCTAGGTAGCTTCTAGACACAAGTTACCTTTTTGGACAGACATTAGACAGCCTTTTTGGTATACTTGCAAATACTCTCCAGAACTGTGCTGCTTGGGTGTATTTGGTTTGTAGTCACGTGATTCGGAACCCCGTAACCTTTTCAATACTCTATTGTTGACAAATTTTTGCTCAAATCATTTTGCATCCGCTCGGAAGGGATTAAGTACAGCATAACAAATTTGTTAATTTCCTCAAAGACACAGTTGATAATTTATAAATCCATCGATTACCAGAAATAAGTAAATTTTCTTCGATATGGAAGAAACAGAAAAGTGAATCGGAGCTAATGTTTTGAGGTTAGAAGTGAAATATCTCACGTTTCAGAACGATGAATTCTCCAAGAAAACATAGAAGAGACAGAGAGAATGATAAGAAACGGAGAAATGCTGATGATTTTAGACCTTCGGGTACTTCAGAATCCAAAAATCATCGATCATCAGAGAACTCGGACGATTTCACATTCATTAGATTCAGGTATGAGCTGAATAAAGTATTTTCTGCAAATCCGAATTTAGTGCAAGACCCTGAAGACTTCTGGGGATTTTTAAAAAAATATGAAGATGTGCAGAAGAAGCTGGGAAAGAATCAAGAAACTCCAAAGTTGAATCCAAAGTTGAATTCCATTGGAGTACCCGATTATTATCATAAAAGTTATTGTCTCAATTTGAAGTTAAATCTGAAGTTTGGAGAGATGTTTGCTAGAATTCAACAGACTAGAGACCTGTCCGATTCCCAATTACATCGGTTTAAAGAGATTATCGTCCTTTATCGGGATTTTAAACAGAAGGAGAAGTTCGGAAAGCTGATGAAGTTGAAGGAGAGCCAAGCCAATTTGCCTGTGGCGAAGCACAGAGAGGAAATTATTGGGGCTGTTAAGGAGGAAAGGGTGGTGATCATTGCTGGTGACACTGGCTGTGGAAAATCTACGCAGGTACCTCAGTATCTGTACTCGGCGGGATTCAGTAAAATAGGTAAAATTGTTGTTGCTTAATTCAATTGTTGGTCGGTTTGGGGGTGAAACTCAAAATTTGTGACTTCATTATTACACAATAATAATCGCGTAGAATTTTTAGTTTCCAATTCTTAATTTTTGTAATTTATTGTATTTATTCTATCGAAAGACAAGGATAGGAATCGAATTTATGGGTATTCTTTCATTATT